AGCTTTCAAGAGGACTAAAACCTCTGGCTTTAAGACGGACAGCAACTGACTGCAAGCTCGCGTGGAGTATAGGGGCAAGAAGGCTCACTCTCTTCCCATCTAATTCTGCTCTTGGCAAAAAGCCACAACTTAAGTACTTAAGCGTTAGCAAGTACAATTTGCATAGACATATTCACGCGCTTATTCTGGCCGGAAGTGGAAAATAAGAGAGGACAGTACAGTTTCAAAATAAAATAAATGTTAGCAAAACTTAAGATCCTTACAAATTGACCAATCAAATACTTAACCTTTCCTGAAATTAAATGCAACTTAGGTGACACCCCTTGAACTACCTCCGTGTCAGGCTGGAAAGCAGGGTGATGCCCACAGAAATTCTCAAAAGAGGGATTATACAGGCCTGCTTGCTACGCTACGGACTCAATCTCGCAACGCAGACTTCTTAGAAGAACTCTCTCTTTCAACTCTCAAAGCTCAGCCGGGCGCTCATCAAACCTCGAGTGCTCGGAGACCAGCAAGGACAATCTATAGATTTCGTGTTTCTGGCATTAACCCACTCGGATGGCCAGAGCCACTACCGTCCGGCACAGCATAAGATGCCCTTTTTGGTAATAGAACGAGGTTCGTGTTATTGGCTCCTAGGGCCGCTGAGTCAAGGTATAATACAAAACAAGTGTATGCAACCTCAGGAGGTTTGTATAAGGTAAGCCGAGTTTCAAAAAATAGTTCGACAAGAGATCAATGGCTCAAAATGCTTTGAGAAAGACCAGTATAAAATCTTGATATTCTGTTATAACGGAGGAGGAAGTTACATTATCAGAGTTCTCGCTTAATACCTTACTGACTGGTTTGTGTACTTTTTTAATACGAGAACAGGCGATAAATTGTTACCATGCAACGAAGACAGTTACATAATTATTATTTTCTCTGTTGTCAAAATATAGAAGTTTGCAATTCGAGCAGCCTGAATCAATATTAAATCCTCCAAAGTTGTATTTGAAGCTCACTGGTAATAAGGTAAAATTTTATTTTCTATATTTAATACTGTGTGACAAAGAAACCCGAATGTTTATTTTTCACAAGTGTTTTTTAGCTTTACGTTTTTTTATTTATCCAAAAGTGGTCTGTTTTATATTATTATTTATTTAATTTTTACTTTTTTATTTTGTAATTACTTTTATTTATTTTTTCCCTCATTACCTTGAATAAAAAATTTAAACCCAAGACTCTAGAAAATTTGGAAAGTGTTACTGCTCTCTGTTATTGTTTTGCGCTTTATTTTAGAAATTATATTAAACGAATTTATATTAAACAGCCTATCATTGTTATTCGGTAACATTCATTATTGTCTATATTACTTCTAACCTGCTTGCTGTGATATTCTAAATGTACGGATAATACAGCTGAAAGAAGCATTATTTAAGAAAACTTTTCTTCATAAAAATCTGAAACAAAGTTTCTTACTTTATAATCTTACGTTAGTAATTTTATTATTGCAAATGAAATGGCTACTGAGCGACGGCAGGTTGTATTGGCAATGAAAGAAAGCTAGAGCTGAGGTTCATGCAAATTTGTTATGCTGTGTGACAAAGTCACACCTGGGTGATGCAACTGTAGTATTAGTTTCTTTCAACAAGCATTTTACATTGAATATTATCGACATCAAATCAGTCACAGAAGCCAGTGCATTAAGAGTGTTATGCATTTACGAGTTCAAATTAAAAAATTTCTGCAGTTAAAAAAGTCATTAAAGCATTTGGTGGAGGAACAACTAATGAAAATTCCACTAGCTGTTGGCTTTCGAAATTTAACCTAGCAGATTTGAGAAAACAAAACAAATGATTTGGCTGTAGCCCTTCCTACATTGATCGGAATAAGTTAAATGATATAATCGAATCAGATCTACCACAAATTATGCGAAAGATCCCTCATACAATAAACGTCCACTTTTCAAGTATTTCACAGCACCTGACGTCGGCTTCCATAAAAAGGCTACACCGCATTATAAAATTATTACAATACAAAGGTAAATGTTTCAATTTCATGATCCAGTCTTTATGCAGTAACCATTCATAAAAGTGTCTTCTGTAGAAGCATTTATGGTACAGCAGCATCTGGCAATGTATACATCCTTTGACAGAAAATTTCCCGGACAGCAGTTATTGAAAGAAAGACAGTTATATAACTGTGCGTATGACATCAGAACTGAATTTGCATCGTGATGTGTGTCATAAGATTTTATGCGAAGATTTAGGAAAACGGAAACTAATGCAAGAATCGTCCCTCACTCACTAACACAGAAACAAAAAGAGGAAAGAAAAGGAACAGAAAGAGGCAAGACGAAGAATTTCTGCTGAACTATTGGATAAAGCCAGACGTGATCCCACATTTCTATCAAAGATTATTGTGATTTTTCTTGTTTACGTGAGTGAAAAGGTGACTGAAAGGAAAGCTTCATCAAGATTATTGCAGACATCCAACGGACTACGACAAATAAGCTTGCAAGCATCGCAGATCAAGATTTCCCTGCTTGCTTCCAAGATCTCCAGAAACGTTGTCAGTTGTGTATAGATAACATTTCCCTGCTTGCTTCCAAGATCTCCAGAAACGTTGTCAGTTGTGTATGGATAGCCAAGGAGATTACTTTGATATCACCTGGGATCATTACTTGGTAAACGCAATTTTCTATTTTTACGACCTTTGTCCTAGAACTTTTCTGACAAAGATTGTATTCATTTAAATATTTCGCGTCTTATTGATTTCTTCTGTACATACTAGATTTAATCTGCTGTCAAAATTTAGAAAAATGATGATTAGATATTTTTCAAGACGTATATAGTTCCCCTAGCATATGTCCGAATATGTGCGAATGTTACTTACTTCGTCTCCTACTTTGGTCCATTTAAGCACAGCTTCGTCATCTCCATAACAACCGGCGCAGCTTATGATGGTAGGTTCACCAGCACATCTACACAGTACGATAGAAAAATGTTAGATTTTATGCTTTCAGTTTATAAAATGAATATATCTAAGTTTCAAGAAGATTTTAAAATGTAAGTCTGTGAGATACAAACAATAAATATAGTACAAAACCTTATATCTTTTTTCATGTTTTATTTTATCTTTGCTCCTTACTTATCAAATAATTATTATTAGTCTTTGTAGCCAGAGCATTAGAAATGCCAATTTATATAACTAGCAAATTAGCGCAAAATTAAAATATGATAAAATGCGTATGTGTAAACGTAAGCTTATGAGTTTTCCCTTCCCCCTCATATATCGGTCAAGGTTTTAGTGAGTATTTTCTAATATTTTCTAGAGCTGTGCTTAAAAGTTGCGAATAGTTGGAACTGGGCTGTTAAACATTAAATATATTTCTTCTGTTGTGCATATTTAAACATTTGTGTTCTTCAGACATCGCAAGTAGTTGGAGATAAATTTTATTAAGTGTTAGGTGTACCTACAAGACGTAATGTTAATAAACTTTTAGATTAGATTTACCTCCTGTATATGTTCTTAAAATTTTAGATTTCTTATTAAGAGCGAAAATGATAAATCGTTTGAAGCACAAAATTAAGTAAGGAGTAGTTTAAAAAGTTAACCGAGCTTTAACGTTAGATACTTACTAATTCAGAAAATGAATACATTTAACTTAATAATACGCTATCAATTAAAGCTAAAGATCAGATGATAAAAATGTGAAAATGCAAATAAAATTAATCCCAGTTTCAAACAAAAATACTATTTTGTAAAAATTAAAGCAAAAGACCGAAATTCCATATAATAATAAACCAATATGAGATGCATAACCCAAAAATTTAAGTCTTCATCTCATGGAAAAATTACTAAAATAAAAGATAACATTTAGTGTATAATATAGGTACTATAATGAAACCTGGAGAAATCGCCAGCATGAAATACAAGTGATAAAAAATGAAACTGGACTTAACCTTGTTCTCTGGACAAGGATATGCACAATTTCATTTCTACGTTTTCTTGATTTTTCAGTTATTCATTAATTATGAAAGCATTTAAAAATATATTTAAATTTTAATTGTTTTTTATCTATTTTTTATATACATATACCCACACAACAACAAGTTTCTAGGTGTGCTAGGGTACTACGACTCGGAATCACATAGCAATACAGACTCGGAATCACATAGCAAAGCAGACTCGGAATCACAGACCAATGCAGATTCAAAAACACAGTCATAACGAGATAGAGGGTGAATGATCAGAGTTTTAAGTACTTGTTATGAAACTGAAAGTGTACATGTATTGTAAATTATCGCTAAATAAAGAGTTTTTCAACCCATTATTGGCTTATGATTCCTGTACCATTGTTTATCCTGCAGCTTATCAGAGGTAATAGGGAAAAAAATTTGCTGGAATTCATCCTGATTGCAAACCGACATTTACCCAAGTAGCACACGACGTTGCAAACTGGTCCGAGAGGTTGCAAAGTGGTCGTGGTAACTTTTACGATGTCTTTACAACGTTCCGAAGACGCAAAATTTTTTCCGTTGCATCTTGGCAATTTGTCGACGTCGCTGAAAACGTCATGATATGACCGCTTTTAGACGTGGTCGTTTTAGCATAATTTTCATAGTTCATCAGCTTTACATTTAGAATGAAAAGAGACTAAATCTGCCCTTTCAAGAATCTGAAGTCCACATAAGATTTATTTAGCAATGTTTCATTGCTTTATTTCATCTAAATATATTAATCTAAGATTCATCTAATGAAATATAAATTAATATAAATATTTTTGATTTATTAAATTTAATTAGTATTAAAATACGTGTAAATTATGTTAATTTTTTAAATAATTCTACTGAAATATTTATTTATAAATATTAGCAAAATTTATAATGAAACTAATCTATAATAAGTTATTAGTTATGCATTTTTTATTTTAAAAAATCATATTTCCGAAATCATGCAAAATTACCTGTAGCGATTATTTCACTACTGAAATATGACTTTATTTATTATTTTTGAAGTAAGGACGAACTTATTTGAACTAATATGGTGACATAATATGAAATACTATATCTATTTTACCGCTTAACTATTATTTTTATTTTTTATGATCTATTTTACCGCATACAGTGCAAAAAGTAAAGTTTTCGCGAAAATATGATAGTGCGTGATAAATTATTAATAAATGTTGACATCGAAATTAAAGAAACTGTGATCAAAAATACGAAATTCATTACCTATAAAAATTCTGATGAACTGTTTGTTATGTTTTCACGTTTTTGTCCATCTAAATGCATTCAAAAATGCGTGGTTTAATCCTAGTATACGGTACACTCGGGATTTGACGACATTGACATTACAAATATTTTAGCGAGCCCGATGAATATTTTTTTGTAAATATAATCTTGCGAACATTGTTCGTAATTCTATTAAGTTGAAATAATTCTTCTAGGCCATTTAAAAACGATTCTATTAAATTATCAGAAGAACCGTCGAAAGGTTTAATGCAATCGTATAAATCGCTGAAAAATTACACTGAAATGCTGTTCAACCGATTGACATTCCATGTATGTAATTTACTGGATGATTATATATACGAACATCTGAGCTCGAGGCTTGCGCGCTTTGGCTATCTGCCAAATTCGAACACGTTAGTTAACTGCGCAATAAATTTCAGACTCCATCTTATTTTCAGGAATGTTTTCTTCATGGTTTTGCAATTCACCGTCGGAATTAAATACTGGAGAGCTTTAATACAGAAAGAGAATGATGCACAATAATATAATGATGGCAGTTTATTTTGAATTGAGGAGAAATCCTCTTGGTAATGCCGAATTTCTGCTTATTTTGTTTGTGAATATCTGCTCTACAAGACCACACCAAAATTTTGAATTTTGGAGGCATCGTTTAAAGAAAATATCGGATGCAGCTTGCTAAAATCGTCCCATACAGTGAAATAATGTTCTGTTTTAGTGTTTTATATGTTACCAGTGATTAAAATTATATGGTGGCTCTCTCCAAACTTCAGTGGCCCTAGCGGTGCAAGATTTGGGTACACGGATTAGCGATTCAGTTATAACGTCCTAAGTGCTATATCGTATATCATTCATATTAATCGACTATTGTGTTGGTGCTTAGAATTAATTCATATAAAACCAAAAACAACATACAACGTTAAGGCATTTTCTGGTTTTGCTGAAAATGCAATCAATGCAGAAGCAACAACAATTCAAGCTGTTATGGTATGTTCATTAGTTTCAAAATACAAAGAAATTATTGGACTGATATCAGTACTTAATATGACTGCTGAAGATGAATTAGATATATGTAATAACATATTAGAAAAGCGCAAGGAATACATTAAAATTAATAATAATGCACATTCTATATTATGTTGTCTTTTGTATAGTATGAAGAAAAGGTTAATGAATTTAAAGTGTATGAAATGTATGATTGAAAAAATAGTGTTAAGGAAACATTAGCATTACTACGAAATATTGTAATCTATCAGTATGCCGTACTTAATTGTGTAGTATTTGAAAAACACTAAACATTTTTTAATTGATTGGAAAATTGCAATTTTATTACTTGTAGTTTGGTATCTATTCTTTCAAACATTGTGTAATTCGCGTTTTTTTAAATATTGCCGTTATGTATGTATGTCTATTAGATTATCTCAATAAATGAATGTTGGAAATCAGGTTTTATTTTCTATTAAATTTAATTATATTCTATTTTCTTCGCTTACTTTTTATGTGCTTGTGATAACAAAGAAATTCATAATAAATAGAACAAAATGTTTCATCGTGTGCTAATTAACGAAGGACTATTTAACGTACTTAGCTTACTATCGTACTATACTATATTATTTAAATTATTTCTGTACAGTAACAAAAGGAAAGTTATTGATTATATAAAGTGCATGAAATAATCATTGTAGTCTTATCACTATTCTAAAATGTAGAAACTAAAAATAAGTAAATACATTAACATATGATCGAAAGAAATGGTGTTAAAAACATCATCATTATTAGTAAATACTGCAAACCATAATTATTGCACTTTTAATTGCTTACTATTTAAAAAACACAAATCATTTTTATTATTTCAAATTTTAGATATGAATATGAGAAGTTCCTTTTTGGTTATTTAGACTTTAGGTATATTTTTGTATGAAATATTTTTTATCTTACATAGTACTAACTGTACCTTATATAGTCTTTCATTTGCATATCTCGGAGATATACAAGTTAATGGTTATATTGTTTACTATGAAACGCGAATAAATTTATACTTGAATTCAGATAAAATACTGATTATGCTTACCTTACGAACCACTTCCTAATTTATCATGACAGAGGCAATTTTTAATCGTCTCTGAGATTTAACAGAAATAAATGTGATGAATGCTGTTATAATTAGAAACACTCTTTTCTTTACCCACATATATTAGCTTTACTTTTATTTATGTCTGATTGAATTCTATTTACTTAAAACCTACTATTATTGTTATATATTTATAATAACCACTTTCATATTATTTTCTCACACATACTAAAGGATTAAGGAAAAAAATTGCCCACCCGCGGCCGAGCGGGTTAAAAAGCCGCTGAACACACTGGTAGTTTCGTTCCGGGTTCGAGTCCCGGCGAACGGGCTGGCTGCATGGGCGTTTTCGTGGTTTTTCCCATGTGTAACGTGGATACAAGCCAGTTTCCCTTAAAAAGACCTCCACGGGGCATCCCTCCCTTTCCGTGTAGTGCCTAAGGGCAGAGCACGTAATAAATAAAAAAATAAAAAAAGGGGGGGAAATGATGAAATCTTAAATAATCGTGACTTGGAATTTAAGTTATTTAAAAATATAGTTTAAAGTACTGAAACAAAGTAAGGCTATTATTAATTATGCATATTTATTCTAAAGAGAAAAAATTATATTATCTTCTGGTTTTCAGGAAATAATAAAATATTTAAACTTTAGAAAAATACAAGGACTACAAAATTAAAAAAAAAAAAAAAAAAAAAAAAAAAAAAAAAAAAAAAAAAAAACATTAATTATTAAGCTTATTTTTCTGCATAAATCAATATGTAACACAAGGACATAATAATGACGTTTTCACAACTGTTGCAAAAAGGTCGAATTCTGTGAACGTATGAAAGGCGTCGTTAAGACTCCGTGATACGATGCTTTCACAACCGAAATATAGTAACCTAATAAAGACGCAATAACGACGTCTGTGCGACAAAAACCTCATCTACAAAGACGTAATAAAGACGTCTTTGCAACGGTTGCAAAACAGTGGAATTTCGCGGATATCTGGGCGTTTTAAAGACGACATTTTGCAACGATTTTTGCAACGACATCCGCAACGAGTTTGCAACGTCGTCACGACGTTGCTGTGCTACTTGGGTTAATAACAATAAAAATAAATCCCGACTTTCTGATGAAGAAGGTCTCCGACATTTCATAACTTAGTATAAGGTATGGAATATCGGACGTTTTGAAATGAACTTGGGTGTTTCGAAATGGCGCCTCTTCGTGGCTGATGACCTGCGTATTTCAAAAATTCGAGATTCCATGCGAAGCTCAATTTGCGGAACTTCGGGCAACTTCATTACCAAGAAAGTCATGACTTATTTTAAGGGACTATAAATGTCAATTTAAGATCATGATGTATTCATGCTTTTTGTCCCAATACCTTTTCTGTCAACGGTTTTCCTGCGAGAGCAAGCTATTTCGTTAGGATTGCATTTCCGACCCTATATTTCTATGCGAGTCCGAGGCATTCTAAGCGTACCCTACAAGTTTGTTCCTCTAGTTTTGAATCACTTTGTATACACCATTTCCATAAAATCCCTTATGTTGCCTTTATTTTCACAATAGTTGGCTGTAGACATATACTAACAAAAATTTTTAAATAAGAAAAATATACATGTTATGGAATTTTTAAGTTTAAGATATAAATTTTATAAAAATTAGAAAATCAAATTTTCTACATGGCTTTACGCTCCTGAAGTTATATTTAGTAAAATTTTATACTTATTCTAAAAAACGTACAACGTTTGATTCCTGCTCGACAAAAAGAGACCGAGATATTTAAAGTCTGATATCATATTCAGAGGTCATACATATATGAAACACTCGAGTATTTAAATTTATGTGTAAATGAAAATGAATAACAGTTAGTTAATAGATTAAGCGACGAGTTTTGCTATGCAGGCTGTTATAAAATGTTTTAACCAATACAGATCTCCTCAACCCCCAAAAATATTTATTTTATTCATAGAGTTTTTATAAAATTTTCATGTTCCAAAAAACAATGACAGGCTTCAGAAATGGTCCTTAGCCAATCCAAACCGTTATATGCATATATTAAAGGGGAAGAATATTTCCAATCCAATGATTTTTTTTAATATGTCTGTTAGATCAGTCTCAAATTGGAGACTCGCGAGCCGCTTCGGCCCCCAAAACAATTTTACTCTACCCACAGGAATATTTCTATTATGTACTTGTTTCGAATACAGTGCTTATGGCTTTAGAGATATACAAAGCTGGACTGAACTTGGGTGCGTAATTGCTGCTGAAGGAAAAAGAGGTAGAATGATTAGGTTGGGGCTTTGTATTCTTGCACGCTAGGTGACATGTACCTGTATTGCATGCCTAAACCCGCAACTGGGGTAAGTTGAAAGAACTCCCCACATCAATGTAAATAATAAATTTAATTCTCCAGCTGACAAGTGACAGCGGTTCAGTATTCTGCTCTCTCTTCTTTTTTTGTTTAAGTTGGTACTTCTGATATATATTTTCGTTCAGTCAGTCACTAGTTTGCTAACTGAATGCACAGCTGCGCGATGAAAACAAGCAATCGTATAGCTTATGAAACATGTTTATTTGTGAAGAGAGAAGCGAAACAGGCCAAAGCAAAATTTAAAATTAGGTAAAAGAACAACCTTGTGTTTGGGGTAGATTTAAATGAAACTCTCGATTTAAAGGACGAACAGGTACAGGTCCCTCTTCGGCAGGACCCCCCCCCAAAAAAATGCCCAAGAATAAATTCCATACAAAAATGTTTTTGCTTCTGACGAAGAGGGACCTGTATATATTCGTCCTCGAAATCGATAGAGTTTCAGTTAAATCTACGCCCAGCGCAAGATTGTTCTTTTGCATAATTTTAAATGTTTATTTGTTTTTTCGTAAGATCTTCATTATATCAAAACCTACTGCAACTACTGAGTGTCGCTTTTATACGAAAACTCATTTTGTTAAGTTATAAGTAAAATGGGCTAAGCACTTACGTTGAATTCAAAGGCGTAAAGAATAATAAAGGTCAGATTCTAACATTATTTATGAAATTTAAATAAAAAAATAATCCTTGGAATTTTTGCAATACAATAAATAAGCATACTCAGTGAAAAGTTGCAAAATTTGCTGGTGTACTTTCACTGTAGTTTACTTTTCAGCACATCCGATCAGAAATAGATTTCTGAATATTGAAATATGAAAAGTAAAAACAACAGATCGCACAAAATCAAATAAAAACATATAAATCAAATAAAATAAATTACAAATGATGAAAAAACAAATTAAGAAGTTTGGTTGGTGTAATGAAGCAAAATAATAATAGTAGAGACATGATCTCAACTCAAAATTTTATTAGGAGATAGAATTTTCATTCTACCATTCTTATTAGTTGCTTTACTTTAATAGATTTTATTTTTACACATTTGCCTTGTAAAGTATCATTTAAGTTTCTAAGCAGTTACTTTATGTTAATATCCTTTCCTGTCGATCTCATTTCTATTTCCCTGCCGGAATGTAAATTTCTAGATCGCGCTAAATGAGGTAAAAAGTAGAGAGTCTTTAAAGGTAGGATTTTAGAGGATAAAATCAGAGTGTGTTCTGCCTGCTTGAAGACCACTTTGCTAAATTTGACTCTCTCGCGATTTATTCTGCGAGGTTGAGTTATTCTTGCCATTAGGCTTGTTTATGCCGACTTAGGTCAGAGTCAGCTTGCGCAGTACCTACTTTAATTCAACTAAGGGGAGCTAAAATAGCTTTGATTCGACAGACACTTTACTCAAGATAGACGTAACATGGATAGACTGAGAACTCTTCGTTTCAAAATAACAAGTGCATTGAGACTTTATTTGGCCTTCCCATTTTCAAGCATATTTAAACTATACCTTGGTCTATTTTCATTTATCATATGTCACTATTATCTACGGCAGAGCTACAGCGAGGAGGCCATCTGATGATCTCAGTAACTTGGTAAGTGTGTGTTAAAAACAATAGTACTAACCATTAACTCTAAAAGAATAATATATTTAAAAAATTTGAGATGAGACGAATCCTAAATTTTTCCCGAATCTGAGTCCGAAATGTTCTCGAATCTTAAAGCCTTCATGTAGTAATAAATAAAAGAAGAAAAAGAAATAGCGGTAACTTAATATTAGAATTTTTTAATTAAAACAAAATTCCAAATATTCCTTCAATGAAATGCAAATTTAAGTCTACAAGTGAAGATATAAATGAAGTACATAAGTGAAACTTTTGAATCTTGATGCTCTTTTTTTCAATGTAATGTTTTAAGAAATACTTGAATAACAGTTCAAATTTTAATTAAACGTTACAAATTCAGCAGTAATTTTTAAGATATTTTCTCCCTCTTTACCGTAGTGTAATTAGAAGCACGTCTGGCTATCATTCGGAAGGTTCAGTTTTCGAATCCGGCGGGGGCATTGCTTCTTTTTCATGTTTTTTGCTCTGATAAAAATCCTAATGAATCTACAAGTTGAATAGTCCAACTAGTAGGCAAATGGAGTCATTTGGGCTAAACAGTCTTCACATACCAAAGCATGAATTGCAAAAAGTATCCAGGACCTATGATGAATAGGTTATGCATGGGCAGAACTAGCGATACAATCGAGCACATATGATAAAGCACAAATACTTCAAAGTTTTGAGATTTCACTAGATAACATACTGAAAAAGTGTCGTCCTCAGGGTCGCCATGAGGTAATACTGTTGACAGCAGGTACCACTGAAATTCTAATAGTATCTTTGCTCCTCTCATCTTAAATAAATTATCTTATTGGACGTCAAAAAACTAATCTTTCCGAAGTTCTGAGTTCAAATGATTAACAGTATTTTTAGTAAAAGATGCAAATGATGAAAAAAAGGGAAAACTCGAAATTTTAAATTGCTAATCTTTTCCAAGATCTGTGGTATTAATTCGAAAGTTACATCTCTGTTAAAAACAATATTATCTTTTATTTTTCTTTAAACTCTGAAACATGGTAACAATAAATTTAACCACAGTAATCTACAATAATTACATTTTATGCTGCAATGATCCAAAGTTAGAAAAATAAAAGTCTGTAATAAAAAATACGAATACCTACTTTGTTTCTAGCAAGCATTTTATTGGTTTGTCCGATATTTTGATTTTCTCTTGCAAATTCAGTTCAAAAGCGTAAGGAACTTCAGTGGAACTAAAGGAAACATTGCTTGCAGTCTCACTGCTCTTGTGAGTACTCCAATCTCCAAGCTGAAGAATATCTCGATGAGTACCACTGACAGGTGAGTCCGTTACTGAATCCTCATAACTAAGGGAATTCAGGCGAGCTTCTGTAGTCTCACTTTCAGTCATCATATTGCACCAAGCTGGAAGCTGAGACCGAATATCCGTAAGACGCGGATATCTGCAGCCGGAGGATGAAGAAGCCGTATCCATCCATGGTGACCTTATATCGCTTAGCCATTGATCAGTTCTTTGAGATAAAGCAGAATTTGTACCAGAGTAGTCGAGCAGATTGGACGATCGACGCCTACTAAGAGCTCTAACCCGAATAGATTCTTTGACGCCATCTGTTTCTCGACTAGCTTTATTTCGATTGGAGGAATCATCTTCTGTGTAAGCAACGAAGACATCGTCGAAATCATAACTATCACTTGCAAGAGACGATGTTAAAGTCTCTTGAGATTTCACCCACTGAGTTACATCATCCGCACTTATAGCTCTTAAAAGGACATTATTCTTAACAGCTGTTACGTTTGGAGGCTCAATTTGTGAAGAGCCAGTTGAAAGTAATGGTTTCCGGATAGGCGCGTCATCTTGAGAACCATCATTAGATATACTTGGAGGTAATTCCACAGAACTGTCTGACCATGCACAATCTTCAGTGCCCCCTTCTAGTTTTGGAGTGCTTATGGCATTATTCACAGAAACCTAAAGTGAAAACAGAAATACATTTTATGCATGCTTAAGCGAAGCACAAATAAAGTGAATAATATTGTTGCATATAAATTATGAATTTGCCTCTTCACATTTCGTAATTGTACTACTCAAATTTCACGCAGCTCTATTTCGAAATGATAATAATTAAGACATTTTGTAGCTTTTGCATTTTTAAAATATATGATTTTCGTTATTTATTCAGCTATATAATATAACTCAATGCATTTAAACGTCTTTTTTCCATAGTTAATAAGTTCCCCCCCTCCAGTACTTACCAGATTTTTAAAAATTAAAATTTTGTAATGATGCAAACAAAGACAATATGTTTCTGCTATTTTCCTTGGTGCTTTTATCATATCATATATGCATGTAGTATACATCTCATAATTAATTAATAAATAATTTCATATCATCTTACTGTCATAACTCATTCTAAATAAGCTAAGATACTATAACGAAATGCCCAGCTGCAGTAAGATAGCTTCCCCGCAAGGCGGAATTAGGATTGCCAGCAAATAGCAAGGGAAGGCAGGATTGCCAGATTTGGCGTGAAATCGCCCATTTGGCGACAAAATTGGCGATATGCCATAGACGGATGGAGAACATTCTAGAACAAATTCTTACCGGTTTGGCCCAGAATGTTTGGCCCAGAAAGCAATGTAAACCCTGCCTGTACGCGGAGTAGAAGTCTAATGTCTCGTAGTTCATCGACAGTGTGCGTCGTTGAGGCTATCGAGTTCTATCTTGAGTATGCTGAGCTTCGACAACGACCACTGACGACAACGACTCCACTGTCATTGTCGAACCTCTCACGTATTCGAAAATCGGCATGCTGTTACACCGGGTTAGCGATCAAACGCGGGGGCCCATTTTTGCGAAACTCTTCGAGTTTGCCTGAGTCGACAACGACCAAACCCAGTCGGGAGCTGTACTCTAGTGCTTTGCCATGAAGCTGTCTTCACCGTTATAGCCTGATAGCCTGAAGGCTGTGCTGCTGATTGTTTCAGCTTGTTTGTCGTAGTTTTTCGACTACTGTAAACGTGTTTTGGGGGCTGTCTTGAGTAATATTGGGTAATAAATTGTGTTTTCATTCTTCATCAAGTGTTGTCGTTAATCACTCCAAAGTCCACGAACCCGTAGAAACACAACAATATTAAAGGTAGAAAGAGAATATATGATATATTATTAATATCAGGCTAATTTATATAATGGATAAAATTATATATATTTGGTTTAAAAGAAGTTCTGATCATGCTGTTCATGAATGGCAGCAGAACAGGTTGAATCACCAGACTGACGTATAAATTTGCAGTCAGGGTGCGTGAGATAACCACGAGAGTGCTCCTGCTGTCATACGATATTGCTCCCCAGACCATAACTCCAGGTGTCTAAGCCGCAGGCCGTAGACAAGTTTGTTGCAGGCGCTCACCTGGCTTCTTTCTAATCAACACACAGCCATCACTGGCACCAAGACAGAACCGACTTTCATCAGAAAACATAACAGATCTCCACTCCGTCCTCCGATGAGCTTTAGCTTGACTAAAGTCAGCTGAATACACGCTACGCTACAGAGCGTCTGGCTCGGAACTGGTCTTCAAGTAACCGATTTTAATAGTTCGTTGTATTACTGTGGTGCCAGCTGCAGCTTGAATTTCTGCTGCAGACGCAGTAGAGTGCGCCACAGCCATATGCCGAATGCGGTGGTCTCCCCTCTCAGTAATGCTACGTGGCCGCCCGGAACCCGGTCTTCTTGAACCAGTGCTGCCAACAATCATGCACACTGCTGGCCACTGCTGCCAACAATCATGCAAAATGGATACATTCCTGCCAAGTCTCTTTGCAGTATCGAGCAAAAAAAAATATCCACATTCTCGTAGCGCTATTACACAACTCTTTCAAACTCACTGCGCTGTTGATAAAAGCTTCTTCATCTTCTTTAAGGCATTCTTGACTAACATCAACTCACTACGTCAAATCTCAATGATAAATAATGCTCACGAACTTTACAGCGCGTATTTAAAGTGTTAAATTATTCTTCTGTGTATTTAAAGTAACAATTCATAGTGGAGCTATTAGCGTCATACTTATGCGCCTAGCGAAAAATTTGTATAAACGTCATCTTTCAGATGTATAAACACGCCCACCAAATTTCGTTTATCTAGCACAACCCCTTCTTGGTGTTGGGATGCGTTTTTCTGTCAGTGTAAATCTATTGGAAACATCCCCCTCATATACTTCTCCCATTTTGCAGTCCTGCACTTTAAGTAATTTTACAACCATTCAATTAAAAGTAATAGTTTTTCATTCACTAAAAATACTCTGAACTTTTTTCTTTTTTTCTGATGTGGAAAAATGTTTATAAACTTTATTGTTTTATTTTAACATTGCTAAATAGCTTTTGATATTTATATCTAATTAAGAATAAATTATATAAAACCACATTTCAAGCAATATAATAAACGTAATTCCAGCTTGTATCAATAACCACATATATTATTATCTTCCGTTTGAATTAAAAACTTGAGTTCGATTTACGGATTTCGTTTGCAATTGAGAGATTTCAGAGACTGCATCCCAATCATTAATAATAATAATAATAATAATAATAATAATTTGGAAATCTGATATATGGTACTTACGTCTTCCCCTTTATTTAAAGTTTTGTCAACATGTGCAGCTTTATTACGACTGTTATTTAAAAGATTCTGATAACGGGCTGTGTAGTCCACGTGATTTGTAGAATTGATGGTCAAACTGTACTTATCAAATAGCTTGCGAAGAGCTTCACTTGCTTCAAGGAGACAATGCCGGCATTTCACAGAACTGGAATTTAGATGATGACACGTGCATAGTTTCTTAGGAGGTGTGGTTTCAATCACTTTTCCTTGTGCAGAAGATGATGACTGGCCAGAGTCGTCTCGATCTGTGTCTATCTTCTTAGCGTTATCTTCTGTCTGTTCTTCAGAAAACTGTAATTCGGGGGAGGTAAGTGAAGATCTTTGTGTTTCTCCAGCTCTTTTCACGGTAGAATGGCTAGTTGCCTCGCTTCTGTCCTCAGGAGAACTGCTTTCTTGCTCTTCCTCCTGAGCTGTTAAAGGAGCTGCTGCTATGCCGCTGTCGCTGGCATGAACACTGCCGCTTCTACTCTGTGCTAATAATGGTGTTCTGCAAGGAGTTGAGTAACAACCGCTATCGAGTCGATTCCGAACGTCGGAATTTCCTTTATCATCGCGTTTTTTCTCCATCAGTAATTCCTAGGGGAAAAGTGATACACATTAAAAGAATATATTAAAGAACAGGAAATATATGCTCGACGAACTTATTTAAACCTAACTAAATATCACAACATAAAAAAAAGCTTAGTTTTGTGGAACTAATAAGAGATGGTTTTCTTTTTTAGAAAATAATTTTATGAAATGTGCATTGTTAAGCACACTGCTCAAAACAGTTAGGGGATGTTGTAGAGTTCGGTATGAAAGAATTTTAAATAAAAATAAAAGTAAAGTGATTAATTTCTTAACAAAAATAAAAGTAAAAGAATTAAAAGGAAAACTATTATATTTGCAAACTTTAGATTAAGCAGATTTTGAGATGTAAAAAATTACGCATTTTAGATAAAAAGAAAAAGCGACTTGTAGCATCCTTTATGTAGGTGGAGATTAGAAAAAAAAACTGACATGCGCTGAATGCTTTGTAACAGTTTATGCGATGTTTAAAAAATATGATTAGCCGAATACTTAGCCTGGAGGGCCATCTTCATTTAGAAGCAGGCCAAACTCAGCCTGTTGTAGCGCAAGGCCTTTGGAATGTCATAAAGCGGCGTTTTAATGCTATGGTATTGTTTACAGAAACTGGAACGCTAAGCGGAAATCCAGAGAAAATCGTAGGTGTGAAAAAACAGAAGATCGACTTCTTACACTAGCGGTCAGAAAAACTGCATTTATGATTGTAATTCTTTTGCAGTGGCAGGTTTTGAAGGTTACTGCAACCATTGTTTCAACTCGAACTGTTCGAAACCAACTCTACAGCGATGGCAATGTATGCTCGCAGACATATGGTTCGCGCTTTTTTTAACTGCGGACCACCGTGTTTTTAGCAGAAGATGGTCACAAGAGCACATCAGGTAAAGAAATGAACAGATCAATATCCCCTTCTCAGAGAAGTCCTGCTTTGTTAGCAACCTGACAATAGATGGTTTATGATTTGGAAACCAAACTCAGAATAATCTGATTTATGAATGAAACTGGATGATTTGGAGAAGCGGAGTGATGACCTGAGCTGGTATCTATTAACTGCCGTACCGACCTATAAATCCCAGAAATGGATTACTAAGGATTTGCAACATAGATAACAACATGAGATATCTAGACCTTTTATGGCCCTCACTAGGTAAAAATTTGGGATGAATTCATTCTCACGGATGATACCCTCGTGTCTTGTGCTCGTTTATTACGGCCACCTTTTCTTTCAGCCACCTTCTTACGGCTAGCTCTTTTCCTGGACGACTTTCTTTTCTACAAAAGATAATCGTTCTAGTGGATTAACCAGCGTGTTCGTAAGACATGAACTCAATTAAATATGTTTTTGACATTCTAGTGAGAACGGCCGGTCGCTTATCATATCTAAAAACAATTCAGCAGCTAGAAACTGTTCTTCTAGAGCTCTCCTAGAAAGTGGGAGAAAACACACTTCCTTAGTAAATTCATTCTTCACAGTGAAGCAATTCTACAGTTGTTCAAGGGAGATCATATCCTTTATTGAAACTCATTTTAAATTTATTTTGAGAAAATTTGAATTATTGAAATTTAGTTTAATAAATAAATTTCAATTTATTTATTATTTTTATTTCTTTATTGAAATAGTTTATAATTTTGTTGTTTAATATTATTCTTTTATTTTAATATTATTATTTATTTTAATTAATTAAAATTATGAATTTTTTATTTAGAATTAAAATTTTTTTATTGAAATTTATTTTGAGAAAATATCTATCAGGATTTTTTCTCGTTTTTATGACATTTAAAAAAATGAGGCTTTTCTATTTTCAGAGAAAAAATAAAATGTAATTATTCCTTGTTCCCTATGTAATTCTTTTTCTTCCTAGCTTACAATACTTATGCTGTAGTTATTAAGAAACATCTGCAGTTATATATATGCAAAACGAAAATAAAATGTAATTACTCCTTGTTACGTACGTAATTTTCTTTCTTCGTAGCTTACTACATTTATGGATCATATATCACCTAACTAAACATTTCTTCGTCTGCAGTTAATATCCAAAGTAAAAATATCACCTAATTGTTTTGAGCGGTATATTAAAATCAATAGATCTTTGTAATCAAATTAGGATGAAACTTGGTTGTATCGTACTATAGAGGACTATAATTTTCTTTTTATACGTATTACTCATTATATCAAAGTTAAGTTTCGATAATTTCAGACGTATTATTGTACACACCCACGTAGTATTCTCGGTAGAGAAATGATGTTATTATTAAATATAACAAAATTGGCCGCATGTATATATTTTAGCATTTTTATTAAAAAAGAATCGGGTGTTTCTGAATAGTAGTTTTATATATTCAAACCATGTCTATCTCACCATTACGAAAAAGAAATCGATGGGAAACTGTTGGATCATTCGGAATGTTCTTCTGTTTTTTTTTTTTTTTTTTTTTTTTTTTTTTTTTTTTTTTTTAAGCCATCTCTTAGACAGCTGGAAAAGTGGCATTGTCATGATGGAAGATAAACCTCGAAGACTGGTCAGTTCTGCCGCTTTGCTTCGATTTCTGCATTTAAAACTGCCTTTTGGGAACAGTATTTTTCAGAATTTATTGTCTGATTTGGTGGCAACAATTCGTAGTATATACAGTTCCTTTGCAGTCCCACCATACACAAAGCCTTACATTTTTATGATGCAGTCCCCCTCTCCATGTTACTAAAGGAGGTTTTTTTGGCTTATCTTATGATCTTTTTCTTGTAACATTATTGTATAGTTCAGGGGTTCTCAACCGGTGGTATGCAAAAAAAACAAAGTATTTTTAACTATTAAATTCAAAAATTAAAACCCCAATATCCTGATTGATTTTTTTCTCAAATACTCGTAAACTTATGCGATCTGAGCTTTGTTCAAGAGTGGTGGTGGTGTAGTAGTACTTTGTAGTGGTGGTACTAGATGTTTGTAGTGGTGGTACTAGATGTTTTTATTTTTGTTTAGATAGTACGCGTTAGTCAAAAGGTTGAGAACCGCTGTACCACTTCTCATTTCCTATGATGAACCGTTTCAGAAAAGAGCTTCTTTATTTCTCTTTTAGCAAAAGGATCATGTGCCGAAACTCGAGCAAACATATCCTGCTCTGTTAAGGTATGGGGTACCCATACGGTGTAACAAATAACATTACCAGTCTCCTTCAAATGATAATTTTTTCTTTTTTCTTTTCTTTCTTTCTTTCTTTCTTTTTTTTTTTTTTTTTTTTTTTTTTAATAAAAGAGCACAATATGACGAAACTAAATTTTGTGTTCACTTAACTAAATTTTTTTACCAAACTTAGCACTGCAGTGAAACAAAAATTATGTCACAAGATAATTACACAGCGTGAGCAGAAAAGGCATTTTTTAAACATCTGCCTTGATTAAGATCACTCCTTAATAGCAGTAAAAAAAATGCACTTCAATTTGAAAAACTACAGAACCTTTCGGATGACCCAATATTTCGAAACTAGGTTACTTCTAAAACCATCAAAGTATTTTAAAATGAATTTTTCAGCTTTACTGCTTTTACGTGTACATAATCATTCAAATTTCAACTTAAAAAATCTTAATAATAATAAGAAGAATAACTGTTTCAAAATAGTATATATGTAGAAAAATTAAACTAAAGGTATTGCCATCTGAATATAAAGAATGTACACATTGATTTATCACAGAAAAATTGTTTCTTACGAAGTTCAAATGGTGTCAAAAATTATGCTTGTCAAGGGCAAAAATGCTCTGTGTGTAGCACTGGATTAAGGGATTGGGGGGGAGGGGCTCTACTTGTGACTAACTATGGCGATTCAGCCCTAAATAGCCCTTGTATGCTTTGCCGTAACAAACATGGAGTGCATTTTTGTGCTTAATTTGAACGATTAAAAAAAATTAAACTCCTTTAATTTTCTCAAAATTACGATTTACTGTCTACGGACCCTCCGTTTCTCCTGCCTACCCCACAAAAAAAAAAAAAAAAAAAAAAACAATGACATACCCCCTAAAGAAAAGGGGAAGAATTTCTCTGCGCAGGCGCAGGAAAACTCTACACCCGGGATGCGAAAATATCTTTACAGGACACATTCGAAAACTTGCCGTTCTTTTTAGAAAAATTTTCTCATTTATCAATTGTAGGATTATATCATTTTCCAATTAAAATACATATTTTACTAAGCCTTAGAAATATTTAAATAAATCAGTGAAAAGGTCCCACTGGAAAACTGCAGTTTTTCTGCGTCAACTGTTAACGAACGGTCTTTAAATGCAATATTCTTTCAAAACTGCTGTGTGCTGCCATCTACCGTCGCTTTCCTAAACATTTCGGTATTAACGAAAAACTAAGCTAAATTTAGGGCCTAAATTTAGTTGACTCCGTAACTTCGCAGAATTTTGGTGAAATTGCAATTCCATCCGGAGTCCCAGACATGATGAACGAAAGGAATTTAATTAATTATTTAACTATTTGTCATCATATCTAATTTATACAGTTTGTAACTTTTCTTTTTATATTTCGTTAACTTTAAATACTATTTATTTATTATTTTATTCAGAGCTTAAATTGCGCCGAAACCTACCGGAGTTCAGCTCCAGTACTTCTCAGTTTTCGGTATAAGTTATAATTTGATTCGGAGCGAACTGGAACCTTAAATAAAAGGGCTTCGGCACTTCTTTTCTTTTATGTGAATCATAATTTTAGCGGATAAATTTTGTTTTAATAGTAAACATCCGTTAAAAATCAATTCTAATTTCTGAATGCAGGCTTGTCTTTCCTTCGCACTCAGGCCTTGCACAGAGGTTGAAAGTTTTAAGAAAAGAAAAGCCCCCCAAATCATATGTAAAAAGTTTATTCTCCAGGATGTACAACGAACTTATGAAAGCATGCAAATTTTGTGTTCCTCAAAAGTACTCAAAGTAATACCCTGGTCACGCACGTTCCACGATAGTGACTTCTCTTGCAGAGCTCTTGTAGGATTTCTGAATGATGTAACCAAACGAGAGGACCACTGTTTTCACTTGTTACATTTATTCTCACGTTGTTACCGAATCGTATTCAGGAAAAATTTCTGCTTGACGGCTAGAAATACATCGACAGAGCATCGCGATCAGAAAGTCTTGAACTCTTTCCTCTTTATTTTCAAAGCTACATTTTTCTGTTAAAATTTCCTTCCGTATCCTCATACTGTTTCTAAGATTCTCCTAAGATTCTCTTTATTCTCCTTAGTGGAGCTGTAATCGTTTTATCTTTTTTCGTTGATGTGCTGCAAAAAAACAGTAGTACCTGTCATCCCTTGGAATAGTACATTATACGTATAATCAGGACTTAAACTTAGATGGAGATCAGCTGAGCTGCTTGTTAGCTTCTAAGAAGTAGCTCAGCCAATGCAATAAAACAAACTCCGATATATTTTTTTTCTATTTAATGATTTTAAACTAAATTAATAATTTATTAGATTTCTCTTTGTCTCTTTACATTTCTCTTAATTTAAATTTAATTATTTTAATTTTTGTTATTTTATTTATTTATTTTTCTTTCCTTCCTCGCAGTCTTGCATAGACACTTCTAATTTTAGAAATTAAGCCCTGATTTTATTGGTTAATTTTGGTCACCTTTGCGGACTTCCAATAAGGCTGAGGCGCTTCTAATTTTAGAACTTAAGTCCTGAATAAATCTATCTAATAACAAAACACATAAAAATTTTAGGCCTAATTTATGCCCCCCCCTAATATTAAACAACTGAAGTGCAATATTATAATTCAGCTACAAATCACTGAATGATAACTGTTTAAAACTTACCATTTTATTCATTCGAAGCTCGGACAAAAAAGGCTTCAATGTTATTATTTGCTTCTTTCATTAGAGAGAAGGGGAATAAAGGATACGAAACGAAAGGGGTGTTTATAGGAACTTACGAGAAAACTTGGTATTCTCCAGTTGGTGCAAATAATCGTATTTTTTTATACTTCTATCAGAGAGTTTTCGATTTAAATAATTCACTTTGAGATTGCTAAATACTGCTTTTAGTCTGATGTCATAATCAAATGAAAATAACAAAGGATGTATGCCATTATTTAACATATGGCTTCTCTTGAAATTTGGTATGTATAAAAAATCTCAAATAAAGGAAGAATATATTATGAGAATAATAGGTATATATTTTTATTATTTTGTTCGTTTTACAATTTTTCCCCCATCTTGCATCCTCCGTTTTAGACCTTTCTGCTCCGACGAATCTTACATACGATCATGCGATTTCAGGTATACCCTGACTATTGTATACCTATTTACTGAAGTATTTTAAAATTCCTCTCTATGTATTTGTTCTTTCTAACGTACCTGTATCTTTTGTTGTATGTGGTCCACCGCTGGCTGCCGTCTGTTCAGTGATGAAGAAAATTCCGCAGAGCTTGGGCTTCGAGATAATTTTGTCACGACATCATAAATAATTAGAGATCCTTCTGCAGTGCCGACCAAGACACTGCCAGAGAAAGGAAGAAGGGCAGTTATTCGAGATCCTCCCATTTCATCCTCTCCTATCTGTTAGATAAAAATAATAAAATAAAATTTTAAAAATTTGTAATCCGTACATTTCAGATGACTGTCGAAACACTGTAGGGAGTAAACATAAATACCTACTATTTTGGTTCCGGTAAACTTTATGGTAAATCAAATTAAACTCATCTCAATTCAATCAAAAAAATAACTAATAATAATAATAATAATAATTAATAAATAAATAAATTTTCGACATTTATTTTTACACTTCGGTTTTAATTTATCTTAGTGAACAACAAGAAACTAAATGGTATCAATAGTAAACTATTACATTACTAAAAAGTACTATATCGTTTGAAACAGAAAATTGCTGTTTGGATAAATTCAAGAAACGAAATACGTACTGAGAGCTCTGCGATCTAAATGTTACTACAACATTTCAACGCTACTACTACATTTTACTTTCAATGCAGATGATAGTGTACATAAGAAGTAGATTTGCCGTAGACATGTGAGGTCAGAAACTGTTTTACTTGAATAGAAGAGAAATATGCAAATGTAAAATTTAAAATTAGATCCCCTCCCTAAATAATCAGCCTTATTGCGGGGCAGATTTTGAATAATATATTATCGATTTCGAGAACGATCAAATTTACATTCCTCTCCTTTAGAAGTAATTTTCTTTCTTTTTTTTTGGGGGGGGGACTTAGTTTTAAACTATTTTATTCATTATAGTAATAATGTAAAATAACACCTGTTACATACTATTGTTAGGAAAAGAAGGCAAAATTGCTTTTTAAACTATCTACCTTGCTTTGCTGAGGAGCAATGCAACTTTAAAGCCTAGAAAATAAATTTAAAATCTTGTAAATCCTAGAGGTAATGCTCGCAAAATCTTTTTTGACACTTCCCATGGACCTCGCGCTTAAAATTTTTAAAAAGAAAATAATTGAAACTAAGTTCTGTTGTCCTCAACAGAATTATAAATGGTCTTTTACTCGATAACGATATGTCAGATTAATATTAAATTAGTAACAGTAGAATTATTATTTTGAATGGGGAAGTTTTAATTTAGATCCAGATCAGTGGATAATTAATATCTGTCATTAAATTTAATTTACTGTGCAACTTTATTAATGGAATACATTTTCAATGAAAACATAAGACTTATATGAATAGCACTGAAATTCTGCTAAAAGGTAGCGAATTCAGAAAAATGTATAAAAATCTGTGAAAATTAAAGAATTTAATAAATACATATAATGAAAAGTCTTCAAATTAATAGGAAACCATTTTTTCTCCAGTCTCTGAAATATAAGCAATTTACGTCAGCAACGAGCATGCGAACTTTCTCTCTACATTTCTTATTTTTTTTCCTATCATAAAGAATTAACTTGAATATATGAGCCAAGTCTATTAGTGTCTTGGTTACATGAAAACATCTATCTTGTGATATAGAATTTGAATAAAAACTACTAATTAAAGATATAGATTTCTCAAATCTATGTTTTCATTCTCAGTTAATATTTCATATTATTTTCATAACGATTTGATATTAAAAACACTGAATAAACTTTATCACATGTCTGGTATTATAAATTTTCTAGTACCCGCGTATTACACTTATGGAGCAGTCGCGTTTTTCCAATTTATAAATGTCTTTAAGGATAATAATAATAATGCTCGTAAGAAATGGCAGGTAGAATGAACATTGGTCAATGATGACACAAATTTTTCATAACATGTAGTAATGCTAACTATATTTTTTAGCTGTCATAGAAACATAAATATAATTCTTTTATGTTGGGATATTTCACTGGAGTAATTACGTAGAAGCACTGAACGTCTGCGCGATGTTTCTCTATGCAGAAATTTGCAAGTTTTGAAGAGTTTATAACCTTGTAACGTCTGGTGTATTTTGCAATCCACCAAAGTATTCATATTCTTGGTAGACGTTAAGCAAATTATCGCTGAGTCTAAATTAACAACTGAAACTTGAGAAGGGTCTAAAACACCATTTATTTAAAGCTAAATAAGTACAAAAGGCGTGTTTTGTGCTTACAACTCAACCAACCGTTTATGGCGAGAAAAGATAGATACAGAAGTCAAATGCAAAATTTAAATTCAAATAAACTAGTAGCCAAAGGCTACACAGATCAATTAACACGAAGTTAACTCAGAAACTTGACCGTTATAGATATCAGTTATTGGCAGTTACAAATGCAAAACCGAAGAGTACAAATCTTATCTAAGACAGCAACCTAGTAACGTGGCCTCCGAGAGTCAGAACACGCTCTGTCTTACAATCTAAAAATCTCATCTTAAAAGCAAGAGAATGCATTCTGGTAGGAAGATAGAAGGAAGAAGTGATCCAAACCATAAAATAACTGGTTAGTTAACGTAAAGGAGCCTTACAATCTAAAAATAACTTTCGCGTCAAGATATAAATTTCTTCTCGTTTTCTAAATTCAACTCAGAAAAAGAATCATGTTTGCGTATTTTACTGGCTAAAGTATTCTTTCTGACAATTGTTTTCATTATTACGGATATTTATTAACAGATTAATATGTTTTCATCATGAAGTTCAACATATTTTTACATAATATAATAAAATGTAACCAATAAGACTTTTTGATCCAGTTAATTTTCCTAAATTTGATCTAAGTAATATTTCTGGAGAAGTTTCGCGCAGAAAATGCAGTATTAGAGAGTTTTATTTGCAAAATCTCCAATATGAGTGAGTGCAGTGGGAGTTTTATCTACAAGTAGATAAAGGTTATTATCTATTTCTTACCTTTGGTGAACGTGGGTACTTGTTATCTTTCACGTCAAAAAGGAGGCGACAGGTAAGGGTATTGGGGTCCCACAGCTGAAGAATAGAAGAACCCCTTATGGTTAACCAAACTCCTCTGTCATCCGACACGAGCATCGATATATAATCCAGGCAACTGGAGGACGTTTGGAATTGGTCAACAGCGTCAAGGGTCCTTGGAAGAAAGAAATAAGCTTAATAATCCACATTTTATTTCCGGTTTTAGAATAAATATTATACATTCAAATTTAATAAATGAATAAGCATAGGATGAATTGTTTAGTTGCTTTATGAATAAAAGTTTCTTCTGCAGAAGTAACAATTAACTAAAAAACTAATCTTTTGCAGTGTTTTATATGGCTGAAAACAGAAATATTTTCAAGTAAGATAGCCTCACTTTTTTGGAAGATAAAAGAAAAAAATATTTAAAAACTAAAAGGGGTATATTGCATTTGAATAGAGGAAATCTGTTAAGTGTTAGTTTGTGAGAACCACTTGCTTATTTTCTAAGTGACAGCTGTACGTGTAGTAAGTTCTTGTAGGAACTACACAGGAGAAGAGTTAAAAGTACCCTTTATTAAACTCTTTAAAATTCACAATGCGTCGACTTGACGCTAGCACACTACGCCTCACTTGGGCGGTAACTAAAATCATAAAAACTAAAATAAAAAGTCGAAGATATTCACAAGTAGTAGGAATCACGTTACAGGGCTCAGAAAACTTCTGCTACTTAAAACCGCATCGAAACTAGTGGCAGCAAAGTAAAAGCTGTTATGACACGTAAACTAGAAATAACTGCGGAAGTAGAAGCTCACGCTACAAAGGTAACAGCAATAGCCCACTCTCTCTAACTTTCCTTCTAAAACTCGGTATTTAAACGTTTTCTCCTCAAAACAAACCAGAAATAACTGCGGAAGTAGAAGCTCACGCTACAAAGGTAACAGCAATAGCTCACTCTCTCTAACTTTCCTTCTAAAACTCGGTATTTAAACGTTTTCTCCTTAAAACAAACCAGAAATAACTGCGGAAGTAGAAGCTCACGCTACAAAGGTAACAGCAATAGCCCACTCTCTCTAACTTTCCTTCTAAAACTCGGTATTTAAACGTTTTCTCCTCAAAACAAACCAGAAATAACTGCGGAAGTAGAAGCTCACGCTACAAAGGTAACAGCAATAGCCCACTCTCTCTAACTTTCTTTCTAAAACTCAGTATTTAAACGTTTTCTCCTCAACGTAGAATTTGCATTACTTCACGCGCGCTACCAAATTTAAATATTCTGGTATTCACAATTAGGGGGATGAAGGCTTATAGGAAAGAATTTAAAATTAAATAAACTTGGTTATTTAAAATAAATATAAATCCATACAAGTTATTCTGAGGAATCAGTGTACTGCTACTTCGAAAGTAAACCAATTAAGCCTGTATATTTTACAAGAAATAATGTTGCTTTAAGTATCGTAATTGAATTATTTTGATTATTGTAAAGCCTGCGAGGGCTATTTGCTTACGAGGAAGGATGCCTCCGTGGAGACTTTTTTAGGAAAACTGACTCGTACTCGCATTACAATTAGCGAAAATCTACAAAATTTCCATATAACCAGCCCGTTCGTTCACTGGGAAATTAGCCCAGTTGAGATAGATAGTGCAGCGCTCTTACCGTTCCACTTCTGGTGGGCTTCTGAATTTTAGCTACAAAGCATTCACAGTGTCGAACCTAGAAATTAACTAACTCAGGCTGAAACAGACTTAATGATTAGACTAAAAGTTTGGATAAAAATATTTCCTTGTCGTAACATTACCTTATATTATTCCACTCATTATAGTCATATTAAATATTCTCTTAATTTTAATAACTGGGAAAATGTTTCTTTACTTTGATTTAAATTCCAAAATAGTAGTTAAAAACCTTGGAATAATTTCTTCGAGCAATAGAACACATATCTCTTTCTGCGAAAACGTTTTTTTCGGTAAAATGGGACTAGAAGCATTATAGGTCCATTTCTTATGCGTTGAATTTCATTGGCCTTCTTTTTATTACCCTCAAAGCCACTCAAATACTGAATTTTGTCAGTTTATTACAGTTCGTTTTCATTCCTTTCATTTATACGCTTGAGTTATTTTTAAAATTATACCATTTCAATGCAGAGCAAAACTTTTAACCACTTGCTGAAGATAAAGTTTCATACTCTGTTACTAAGAAATTTTAATTAACTACTTTATATTTTTATCACATAAGTTTTTATTCGCTTTAGTTGAAACTAAACATTAAATATTTTAAGTATTTGGCTGTTATGGTATTTATTTAACTGCAGAAAAATATAATAAATACATAAGAAGGCACGGATATAAAGGTAAGTTGTTAATAAAAACACATTTCAGCCTACAAGAATTTGGAAAGACATTAGGTAATTTCGAGGCAGGAGGTATGAAAAATGAGTAGTCCTCTCGCCGGGTCTCGAACCACGGACCTCTCGAATACGTGTCGAGTGTGCTGACCACTACACCACGAAGGCATGCTAAGAAAGCAGGAGGAGCACCTTATATACTCCCCCCTTTTTTTTTAAAGACGACTGAGGTTTTAGGGGACCTAATCGCCAAATCCTAGTGGTGAAGATTCATCATTCACCACCTTTTAGTTCGGGTGCCACTGTAGTAGACATTAGGTAATTTCTAAGCAGAAGGGCTGAAAAATGAGCAATGCCCTCGCCGGAACTCGAACCATGGACCCCTCATATACACGTCGAGCGTGCTGACCACTACACCACGAAGGCATGCTAAGAAGGCGGGAGAAATACCTGATAAGGTCTCTAACAAATCATTCACATTCTACCAATCATTCCTAGTTTTATAGTTAAACATAAAAACATCATCAGAATTGACCCTAGTTTTAGCTTTAAGTATGAAAACATCATCAGAATCATCACTATTTTTATCTTTAAATATGAAAACATCATCATACGCTAATGACTTTGAAGCAATAGCTAGTAAATGAAACAAAAGTCAGTCAGTAGCTGCATAATATCAGAAACGTGATATTCTTCAAACAATAAAAAAAATAGTTAACATTTAAAAAATAAATATTTTTTAAACCTAGAGTTTCCTTTTTTAATTTCTACAATTTTTTTTTTTTCTATTTACTTACAACTAATCTGCCAGTTGCAGAATGCAGCTTGCAGAATGCAGCTGTTCAATTTGCCTGAAGCACATATTTTCAGCGAAAAAATATCTTACTTTTCGTGATTAAATAAATAAATAAAAGCTTAGAATGATTGATTTACGGTAATTAAAGGTAGAATTTTTGAAGGTGATATCAAATTAAAGGTAGAATGGTATTTAATTCTCAGAACTTCGAAATCTGACAAGATAAAAATGAGATTCTATGTATATTGTTATACGCATCGAGAATTCTCTCCCAGAATACATATCCTGTGAGAATAAATGTCACACTATTAAATACACATGACACAGTTTATGAACCATATTTAAAAATTCTTAGATGAATTTTCTTATTTGTTTGAAAAGCATTTAGGGGAAAATGGCTATTTTTTTTTACAAAGTCTTGAAAATAATTCTTTTGAAGAATAAATGAATCAAATTACTAATACGCTGAAAAAAAATAAAAGATGGATAGCAAAAGACAAACAATAAGGAATATTTGGAATCCCCAAATAATAAAGGCTGGATGTTGAACGAATGACTTTATTAAACATGTGATTAAGTGAATTTTCAGAGTAAATCATTCAGTCATTTGTCCCAAATAAGCGTTTTCGATGTCATACATTAAGTATTAAACATCAAGTAATCAAGAAGCGTTTCAAGTCGTACTGACAAAAGGTCTCATTTCATCAATAACTGTCTTCATAACATCAAGTCTACCGTCCTGATTAGTAAAGGGGTTAACGTTGCTGGCTGCCGTATCAATGGGCTCGGATTCGAATCCTAAAGAAAGTTCTGATACTTGTAAGCGTATAGCATGGGGAGGAGGCACTTAAAATACACGGTAAACCGAAAGTCCTCTGTAGTCTTTTGGGGATAGGGTAAGAGGGGTAGAAGACCCTTGGTCACACACAGCAGTCCCCGCGGAGGATTTTCCATCGAAATTGGGATGAAGCTCAGTAAACTCTCGCTGTCATCTATAAGATGCCCGTTGCTCATGACAACGGCAGATGCAATCCTGCGCCCCTTGTTACGATGAAATTCGAGAACTTACTAATAAAACAGAGGACTAAATACTGTCAGACAAGTGAAATAAGTCACAATAACAACAAGTCTATGTATATAAATTCACCTCATAAATCTTTGTAATTTTTGCGTTTGATTTCATTAATCTTCCCTGTAAATCGTTTCTTAAAACTGCATTACAATCTTTCATCTTATACAGCATCAAAAAAGATCTTTGCTTATAAAAGTTAAATGCAGTGTCAGTTTTTATTCTGCTTCCAAAAAATATCCTAATGACTCTACAGTGGCGCCCGAACTAAAAGGATAGTGGATCATGATCCTCCACACCCAGGATTTCGTGAATGGATCAACTAAAAAAAACCAATCGCCCTTTAAAATGGAGAGTATATAAAGTTTTTCTCCCGCCTTATTAGCGTGCCTTCGTGGCATAGTGGTCTGCAAGCTGGGCGCGTATTCCAGAGGTCCGTGGTTAGATTCCCAGCGAGGATGTTGCTCATTTTCAAGTCTCCTGGTTCAAAAAAATACCTAATGTCTCAACACCGTTTATGCCAGAATGTAGATTAGTTTGCGTGTATTTAAACTGAGGCTTTTAATATTGTAAAACAGAGCATGTTCTGCCTCTCAAGTCTACGTTATTATGTTGCTGCAAATTCAAGTAAGATTTGTAGTCTTCGGCCTTGCATTATACTAGCCTATATTTAAATAGCTATGCCAGTTTGGTTTGTGAGCCAACTTCGTCTTAAACTGATTTGTGTAGCCATCGGCTACTAGTTTACTTGAATTTAAATTTTTACATTTGACTGTTACTTTAAATTATCTCGCAATAAATGCCGGCTGAGCTAGCAACCACTAGATCTGGCTTCTGTTCTTCCGTAGTTTAAAATAAAGGGTCTTTTACATCCTTTTCAAGGCTCTGTTGTTATTTTAGACTTAGCAATAATTCGCTTAACGTCTACTAAGAGTTTGGACAGTAATTGAGGATTGCGAAGCATA